GTCATTTCCAACTAGAATTATTTTCTCAACGTATAGATCCCCAAAGTAAGGAGCAGAGAGGACAATTAGGCCCGACCAGGGCAGCAGAATCCAGAAGCCACCTCCGGGGTCCTGAGGAGTGGGGCCCACGTGCTCTGCTGGGGCAGGAGCAAGGTGACCGCCATTCTCCCCTTCCCTCCCCCTCCCATCCCTGAGGCCCAGTGCCCCCTCAGGTCACACCCAGAGTGGGGGGGAGGAGTGGGGGAGGGGATCTGAGGCAGCAGGGACCAAGGGTGCTGACGCCCCCAGGAGGTGGCAAGGTGCTGGGTGTGTTGGAGGGGCAGAGGCTCCCACCAAGGTCACAGAGAAGCCTGATTGTTCAGGTGGGGACACTGAGGCCCAGAGGGATGCGGTAGGCTCCGTCCTGCCCCTGGAGCGCCAGGTGCTGGGGTCCCATCCAGCCCAAGGCCACACGGCATAGCTCCAGCGGGGCAGGCCCAGCCAGCCCATGCTCTGGCCACGGGGCTTGCCCCTGGCCTTGCTCAGGATTGGGTCAGGACCCTGGTCAAGCCTCTCCCCACTTTCCCTGCCTCAGTGTCCCCATCCACAGAGTGGGTGACAGCCTGTGCCCTCTCCAGAAGTCCCAAGGCAGAAGGAGGGCGGTCGTGGGTAGACTTCACCCTGGGACCCCCCCTGGTGACCCTGGCCAACCCTGTCTTCCAACGGGCATGAGGGGTCTGCTGATTCCCAGGGTCCTCTTGGTCACCACCACCTCCATGGCTCATGTGCGTGAGTCCTCTCAGCTCTATACGGGATTCAGTCAGCCAGGGGACGAGAGAGTGACATGCAGGACCTCGGGGCCCCCAGCCCTCACACTGGAGTCAGAGCAGGCTTTTTATCTGACTCTGGTCCTTCCTGCTGGTGGACTGGGGCCACATGCCTTTTCATTCAACTGGGCAAGACACCTACCACCGCCCATTGGGTGAGGCTTGCACCTGCCCAGCCCCAGCGTAACACCTGCACGTGGTCAGACCCAGCAAGCCTGGCTGCCCCCCACCACCAGAGGGTGCAGGACCGGGCCAGGGCCACACAGCCAATCAACAGTGGGATCAGCAGTTCCAAACAGGGTTCTCTCCCCTCTGAGTCCTGCCCTTTCAGACAAATCCAAACTGTGATTGGAAAGCACAGCTGTCCTCTCTCGAGACTCTGGATCCTTTCAGACAATCGGATGGGCAGTCTATCCAAAAAGGCACCCAGGAGGGATGACCCCAGAGCTGATTCCACCGTGCAGGAGACAAGCCTCAACTTAGATATATTACTATTCTCATTACTATTTCTCACAAGTCTTAAATTTACATACATATATGTACACCAGGGTATGGTATATAATGTGTTTATACATATATACACACAGATGTTAGATAATATATTTTATGCTCCTGTATAATCCAAATTTATGTGAATACATGTATCTGAACCGGGCTGCACAGGAGTCCCAGTTTACTTGCTCACATTTTCTTTCACAGTAAATGATAATGGCATTTGAGATACACTGAAACACAAAGTCCCTCTCCTCCCAGAGGGAATCTCTACTCCTCTCCACTCTGAACTGGAGCTATATTAGAGTTACCTCCACTAACAGAGTCTGAGGCTCAGGGAGTGACAGGGCACTAGGCAGGAGACAGGTTCCACCATGGGTCCCTCCCGAGGGGGACTGGAGGCCAGACTGGAGAAATGCCTTTTGGGAAGAGTGTTCTGCGCTCTTCACTGGCCAGGGCTCCTGGGATATTTAGGATGGACCTGGTCACTCCTGGGGAAGGAGAGGGGGAGGGGCCCGTGGCACTCTGGAACCAGATGGTCCTCCCCTCCCCAGTCAGCCTGGGAAACCAAGCTCTGTGAGTCCTGGCCAGCTTTGAGTGTGAGATTTGGACATTTCTTAGATGGGAGGTGTGAGTCCCACAGAGCAGAGGGGACTGGACTTGCCAAAGTTCTCCTTCAGGGGCAACAGGCCCTTGCACTTCCTCACTGTGCATGGACCCTAGGGTGCTCTTAGGCAGGGGCCATTTGAGACAAAGTGGGTTGTTTGTCCATCTGTGGGGCAGAAGGGAGAGGAGATGACTTCCATGTAAGATGGAGAGAGGGGGTGCTGAGCGCCTGGGGTTGGTGGAGAGAACTCCAGGAGGCGAGGAAGCAGCCTGGGTGTTGGAAATGGAGAACCAGCAGGCCAGTCTCTCCGTGGTCCCGCCCCGCTTCCAGAACGAAAGAGCGGTGCGTTCTGGTGGGGGATGGGGAGTTCTGCTGGTGGGAGGGTGCGGGACCCTCCTGAGGCTCCAGATGCGAAGGCAATAGCATCTGTCCGTGGGAGGTGGGGAAGGCGGCCTTCCGTCTGACACTAAGCCACCGTTTGTCCAAGACGTGGTCGCACAGTTGGCGTGGAATCAGATGGGCAGTCTATCCAAAAAGGCAGCTCACAGGAGGAAGCCCGCAGCTGGCACGCATCTGTGCAAAGGGCCAGGCCCGGCAACTCCGCGGCTGGCAGGGCGCAGGCGCCAACTAGCGGTGGCTCCAGCCACTAATCCTTCCCCTGGAGGCCCCCGCGACCTCTGGCTGGGGACCCGGAGTGCCAGCCACCTCAGTCAGTTGGTTCTGGCATCCACCAGCAGAGCGCCTTCCCGGGCGATGGAGTTGTGCCGGGTCCTGGGCCGGGTGCTGGGACCCACAAGAGTCCCCTTTTCTGGAAACCGTCTGTTAATTCTCCATAGAGGGAGAGGGAGAAATCAGGCGGAGGGACAAGTAAAGGGCATGGCTGCAAATAGAAACCACTCCACGAATGGAATTTACAAATCCTAAAAGCGGCAGGTCCTGGTTCCACCGCCGCTCCGGGGAAGAATGGGCGGCAGACCCAGGGCCCTACCTGGCCACGCCCAGGTGGGCCTTTCTCCTGGAAGCTCCAGAGGTCTGACCAGCCAGGGTCTGGCAACGCATTCTCCTCGGTTCTGCGGCTCCTGCCAGAGCTTCCGAGGACGCGTGCGCCTGGGCCCCCCGGCCACCGACAACTCCAAGGAGTCGTCTCTCTATAAAGGTCCAGTAAGAGACCACCCACTGTCCATTGCTTCGGAATGGGCCTGAAAGGCTAGGATGAGGCCCAGAGAGCGGTGTACCGGCCAGCTCTCCAGGTGGTGCTGGTGGTTGGGCCACAGCCCGTCCCCCTGGAGAGCACTGGCGGCTTGATTTCGTTTGGCGAGGACGAAATGACCTGCGCTGGGCAAAGGTCAGGTCCAGGACAAGATCTTACCACCTCCGTCAGACTCTCTGATGCTTTCCTGCGGAGGCTGGGAATGTGTCGTTTTGCACCTGTCCAGCGCCAGAGGCAACGAATATCCAGCCCAGTCTCCAAAGCGCCGGGAGGCTCAGCACGCGTTCGTTCACCAGAGCCCAGGGAGCGCATCTGGGGTGATGATGCCGACTGAAAGGGGGCTTGATTTTTCCGATTCCCCTCCCCACGGTATCCCGTCTTAGGCCCAAATTCTTGGCCTAAGAAGCGGGGAGAGGAAAGGCCTGTTAGCTGTGAAGCCCAGAGTAGTTGGGAGTGAGAGCAGAGACGCCCAGCCCTGAGGTAGGCAGGGCCAGAGCACGGCGGAGGTCCTCGCAGAGCGGCCCAGAGCGCATCCTCCCGCGGGGACCACTTTCCATCACAGGGAGAAAGAAAATCCCCTTCTCTGGAAGCGGGGCCCTTAGCTGTGCATCCGCTCCGCAGTTTTCTTCTTGTCACGGACCTGCGTCCTTTTCCACGATGCAGGACGGTGGATACTTGCGTGGAGGAAACAAATTCGGAAAGCATGCGTTTTGCAGGCCCCACCATGTTTTTCAAAGAGCCACGGGTCGCCACAACGAAAGAAGAACGAGGCCTGCGCCATCCTGAAACTTGTTTTGAGGGGAAAGTAGAGAGAAACGGGGTGGTCAGCTTCGGTCGGCTGGGGGCCGGTGGGGAACTCCCTTCCGTCTGCCTCGAGATTGGCATCGGGGCCACCGAGGCAGGGACCAAAGCTGCGCAGGGCTGGGAGCAGCGCAGGCCACTGGCTGGGCACATGGAACCCGTGTGCGGTGGCGGCTTTTAGATCAAAATAGTTTGCGGGCCAGAACTGGGCGTGTGATCTCTTTGGGGCTGCTTCCCGCGCGGTGTCACCAGTCTTGGGGTCTCTGGGCGCCCAGCTGAGGATTCAGGCGTCACCTGCCCAAAGCAGCTAGAGTAGGGGAAGCCCGGCCGCGACAGGCGGGGAGGAGGAGGAAGGGCTGCGGCCCCGCGTCAGGGAGATGCCACCTGGGGACAAGGGCCAGAGAGCCTTCCGTGCAGTCCGGACGGTCCAAACCGATTTCTACCACTGTCCCGGGCTGCTCACAACTCTCGGGGGCCTGGGCGACAGCCCGGGGGCCTTCGACCCCGGGCGTCCTCCGCGGGGCGGGGCCTTCGGCCCCTCCCCGCCGCGCAGCCTTCGCGGGCCCGTTCCTCCCCCGCGAGCGCCGCCGAGGTGCCCGCGATGGGGGCTCCGATTGGCTGCGCCACGCGTCGCTCGGGCGGGCCCCGCCCCGCGGGCCCCGGGGTACTAACCCCGCGCGGGCGGCCGGGGCGCCGCCACTTGATTCTCTAGGTTTTGCGCTGGGCTGCGGCCGCCGATCGGTGGGGCGGCCGCGCGGGCTGCGGGGCGGGAGGCGGCGGCACAGCCCGCACGGGCCCCGCCGTGGCCCAGGCGGCCCGGACGCTGCGAGGGGCGGCCGCACGCGGGCCGCGCGCCCGGGATGCGGGACTAGCGTGCGGCGGCGCGCGGCCGTCGGTCGGGGCAGCGAGGCCTCGCTGCGGGCCGGCCCGGTGGGGCGGCCACGGGCGCCGCCCCCTGTGCCCTGAGGCCGCGGCCGCGCCGCTTCTGCTTTCCCGCTTCGCGCGGCAGCGGCGGCCGAGGAGGCGCCCGCGCCGCCGCCGCCGCCCCGCGCCCTGACGGCCGCGGTTATGCGTATTCCCGTAGACCCGAGCACCAGCCGCCGCTTCACACCTCCCTCCACGGCCTTCCCCTGCGGCGGCGGCGGCGGCGGCAAGATGGGCGAGAACAGCGGCGCGCTGAGCGCGCAGGCGGCCGTGGGGCCCGGCGGGCGCGCCCGGCCCGAAGTGCGCTCGATGGTGGACGTGCTGGCGGACCACGCGGGAGAGCTCGTGCGCACCGACAGCCCCAACTTCCTCTGCTCCGTCCTGCCCTCTCACTGGCGCTGCAACAAGACGCTGCCGGTCGCCTTCAAGGTGAGTGCCGGGCCTGGGGCGGGATCCAGCGGCCCTGGGGCTCCGCGCGTCCCAGCTGCAAGGAGTGGGGAAGGGATGTGGCCCAGACTCTGCGGCCGCGGTCTGGGCAGCTGCTGCCCGGCTGTGCGCTGGGCACGGAGACTTCGGCGTTCCCCTTGGGTTGCGCCCTGAGCCGGTGACTTCTAGGGGCTTGCTCCCCTCCACCTGGGCTTGGTGGAGCCCTACGCAGAGACGTTGGGGCGGAAACGGCCGAATGGGGCTTCGTTCCCCTGAATTGGGGTCCCTCGGATACAGTCCTTTGGGCTGCCGGGAAGAGGACCCCGTACCCGGCGAGGGCACCGGAGGTGGAGCGAGGAGGGTGAACAGGGCCTAGCCTCTGCTGCCAGCACCCCGCCTTGGGCGCCGCTACCGAAACACTTCCTGCTCACACCCTCAACCTCTGGGCGACCCTGGGTCTGGGAGTGGGGCACTGCACCCTAAAGGATTGTCGCGGGGATCTTTGCATCCCCAGTGATAGGCTGGGAGTGGGGTGCTTGCTCCCACCCCTGGTAGCCCCTAGTCATTTGGAGAGTCTTTTCCTCTATGCCAGAGAGTAGGAGACTGTTTCATTTTCATTTTTTTTTAAGGGGGCAGCGAGATGAAACGAAAAACGCCTTGGTTTTCCCCTAAACCTCTCACAGCTGCCGTGAGAAAGGGCAGGGCAGGAAGGGCCGGCGGCTAGGGAGGTGGTGGTGCCCGAGGTGGCTGGAAACAGCAGCTGCTGGCAGCTGAGGCCGTCCCTACTCCCATTAAGACGACTCCGAATTGGGGGGGAAAAAAGGATGAGTGGCTCTTTGAGGTCTCCCGGGTGACATCTTAAAATACCAGCGGGGAAAATCTCCCGGGGAGGAGGGGGAGGAGGCCCGTGTGACTGTAATCGTCAGATCGGAGGTTTTACTGTCACTTGGAGCTTAAAAGGAATCTTTGAAATTAAAAGAAGACAGGATGTTGACAGGAAATCTGGCCTTTTTAATCAGACCCCAAACATTTTCTCCTTGAAATTTTTACCATCTGGATCCCGGAGTCCCTGCACGCGGCAGCCACGTTTAAATGGCTGTGACTCTGTTTGGAGTCTGATTCCTTTTTAAAAGGCATCTGCCTCTCCGTGCTCCTTTGGGGTGGGGGCTGGGGGGGCTGGTGTACTGGAGGACATCTTCAACCGTCTTGCAATTCCCAGCAGGTGCATCTTCCTGCTCTCAGAAGCCCTCTCTTGCTTTAAAGGGGCTTTCTGGTGACCTCTCTCAAAGCGGCAGTTTGTTTTGTATTTGGTATTTTCTCTTCCTAACGAACCCAGGCTCTGCAGAAGCCAGTCCACCGGGCCTGGGCCACGTTTCAGGACCAAATTGCATGCCCCAAACAGCTCTTGCGTGCACGGAGTGCGAGGAGCACTTCTGTTATTATTGTTGATATTCTTTTTACTTAGAGACTTGGTTGCTAGGCGCATACTGATTCCTCTTTTTGCTCCAGCCGAGGACAACAGGGGAACTACATCCCACCTCGGTAACCGAAGGCATCGTGCTTGGGTTTAATGGAATTGGAGGGATGATTTCTTGGGACACGGGTTAGCCAGTTGACTTAGGACTTAGGTGTGGGAGGTGGCAGACTTTACGTCCTTGATTTTGTCCTAGTTGAGGGAAGGTCTTCATCAGCTTTAAGTCCCTTCCCTCCCTGCATTTGAGAAATCCGCAGTGCGCCGCCGGGGACCTTGGGGAGCTGCTGGCGGCCGGCCCCTCCTCTCATCCCTTGCCTTCCTCTGCCTTTCTAAGCTGTCCCTCCTGCCTGGTGTCTTCAGGTGGTGGCACTGGGAGATGTGCCGGACGGAACCGTGGTGACCGTGATGGCCGGCAACGACGAGAACTACTCTGCTGAGCTGCGCAATGCCTCGGCGGTCATGAAGAACCAGGTGGCCAGATTCAACGACCTTCGCTTTGTGGGCCGCAGTGGACGAGGTGAGGGGAAGGCTCTCACCAGGGACGGCAGGGGTGGGGCTCGGAGGGCGAGAGAGAGGCCGTGGGGTGGGGGCCCCGGAGCCACAGGAGCAGGTCTCCAGGCCTTGCTGTCTGAAGCTGCAGTCGGTCCTGGCTTAGGGCGTGACAGACCCCTTTGAGGGGGTAAGGAAAGTCATGGTCTCTCGACAGAAAAAGACCCCGCTTTCTCCCAGATTCAGAGGTTTGCTAGCTCCTGAAGCCTCCAGGCCGCCTCTCTCCCCATTAAGCACCACGGGTTTCAGGGAAGAAGCTGGGGGAAGATTGTGGATCTCGGGGCTCCCAAAGGAAGCTCTGGGCCTTTTGGCTGGGGGCTTGGAGGACATACCCTTGGTGTCACAGCCACTGTGCCCCTCCCTGGGCAGGAGCTCTCCCGCCGTCTCCCCAGCAGCTCTTTGAGCCCTAAGGTGTTTTAAACAGAAGAGAAAAAATGAGGTTAGGATGCCGAACTTTGGAGAGCCCAGCTTGAGGTCCCTGCCACCCTGCGGTCTCATCTCCCGGGGCAGTGGAGGACGCCACAGTGGCTGCCGCCTGGGGCTGTTGAGGGGAGATTGCCGGGACCTGAAACCCATCATCACTTAACTCCAGGGTGGAGAAGCCTTAGAATCCCTGCCCCAGCGGACGGAGGCTTGCTGGCCCTTTAAGATCCTCCTGCCCAGGGAGCGGGCTGAGCTGCAGCCCCTCCAGCTCAGGCGTGAGCCGGTTCCGGGTCCCGACTCCCGGGCTGCAGCCGCGGCTGGAGCCGAATTGTACTTTTCATCACCAATCAGCGAGGCCTTCTCAAGGTCCTAGTTCCCTGGGAGCCGCCAGCCCTTCCCGTGCGGGCATCTGGGCACCATTTTGTCCTCTCCAGCCGTTCAATGTATACACACAGACGTCAAGCATATTTTGACTTTTCAGCATTAATTAAAACCAGGGCATTATTTGCATGTAATAACTGTTTACTTGTTACTTTTTATGAAACTGAAATAGTTTACATTCTTTCAGACATTTCCTGTTCCTGTTGGCTCCTTCCCCGCGCACAGATTTCTTTCAAACGTTGCCCTTAACTGGTTGCAGGTTGACGGATGGAAAATGTTTGCTTTTATGAATTAAGCTTTCATTGCTGCTCCTAATTAGTCTCCAAGCCCCTTTTGTCATCCCCAATCTCTCAAACCCTTTGCAACTTAATCCCAGCCTGGGCCTTGAGTGAAGAGTCCCCGTGGCAGGTTGGTGGCGGGGCGAGGCTGGCCCAGGTGTGTGTTGGGGGTGGTTTTGGGCCACTGTGGCTGCCTCCCTAGGGAGCCGGAAGAAGGGAGGTCGGTCTCAGGAGCCCAGCAGGGCATCAGGGACTTGCTGCCTCCCTCTCCCTCCCTCCCTGGTCCACATTCTGGGAGGTGAGATATGGAAGGAAGAGAGGTGGTGAGTCTCTGATTTACTGAGACCTCATCCGGCCTCTCTGCACACTGAAAATATTTTCTCAGTGGCTCCCGTGCCCACAGACCTGTGCCCGTCACTCGAGGCTTACAGGGAAGGAGAGAGGTTTCCAGATTACCGTTGACCTGAGTGCTCTAGGAGTGGGCAAGGCTGGGGCTGGTACTGTGGCTCCGGAAGGTGCTGGAAGCCGTTTATAAATCATTCTCACGTCCAGTCTCTGAGGAGTCTCCTGGGCTGAGCAGGGGTGGGGAGCCCCTGCAGGAGTTCAACACTTGTGGTTCAGCCCTCAGGGGCTCCTGGTCTTTTAAGAGTCTGGGCTTGAACCTGCCAGCCCCAGATTGAATCCCAGCCATGTTAGTGACTTTCTGGAGGACGTGAGCAAGTGGCTTCACCTCTCTGTGCTGCAGTTTCCTCGTCTGAAAATGGTAGCCGCTTCATTAAGGGAATCGATGTAAGTGTGTCCGTGGGCTCCCACTGAGACCTGGATACATGTTAGAGATTTTGTTACTTCAAATGCATGGGACTGGAGGAAGCCTTTGAGGTCCCTTTGAGCGGTGACAGTCACTGATTCTCTGATTACAGTGTGGTTTGGGCGGGGGTGGGGGAAACCCAGAAGGTGTGAGTGTTCAGTGGGAGAGGTGGAGGTGTCGAGGGAGGGCTCAGGGTCCCGGGGCTCAGGCTGCAGCCACACCCCTGCTGTGCCCATCCTGCTGACTGGGAAATTCCCACCAGAGGACCAACTGTGATTGACAGGGAGTCTGAGCCACTTGAATCAGGACAGGTTGGGGTTCAGGACCCAGGACCCCTCCCTGACCCTTTTGACTTTAGCCAGGACTAAGAATTCAGGTGGAAGATTCTGCTTCACTCCTCCATTTTTAAAATCCCTGGATTCTGTCTGAACTCCCGGGAGAATAGCTTCCAAAAAGACACCCCACAGAGCTCCGACCTCGGGCTGCAGGTGTGGACCAGGAAAGGACTGGAAAGAAAACCAGGCCCAGCTTCGCGCAGGCCCCTTTCCTAGGGTGGCCTGTGGTAATATGCCCTTCTCCTGCTTGACACCGGCAGACACCACGGTCTACCTACTTACGGTTGCAAAATCCACATCGTACCATAGCTACGGTGCAGGAAAAATAGGAAAGTAATTTATAATAAAATATTGACTTGAATGTGTAAGTGTCAAGGCCATACTCCAGTTGTCTAGGGTGGAGAAGGCCCTTGGCCCCATGGTGGCCACAGAAACAGAGCGCTCAGGGTTAAGGACTCCATGTCTGAACACAGCCTCACTGTCCATGCCCCGATTATCTATAGATGTGAACACTCTTGGCAAAGTTAGGGACAATTTTTTTTTCTTTTATGCAGTGCCAAGTCACAAACCTGGGCTCCACACATGTTAGGCAAGCACCCTGCCGCTAAAAAAGGAAAAAAAAAGAAACTATCTTCCCTTCTAGAAAAGTCCATAGATATTGAAAGTGCAATAACTATTTTTCTTATTCTATGAAAATTGAGTTGGGTTCAGGGCTCAGGGAATTTTAGCAAGTTTTTTTCTCCTAGAAAAAAATGGCTTCTTCTTGTCTGGTGCAGCACTGGGCTTTTACGGCTGCCCCCACCCCACCTCCAAGGGTCCGTAGTGCTTCCTGGACAATGCACCACCCCAGATTGTCCTCTAGGAAGTGACCACTGGCCTCAGCACAAACGAGAGTTGCATGAGCCCCTGAACTGCCACTAACTGGCTGCCGGGGACAGCAGTGTGTGGAGAGAGTGGCCAGGTGTGTGGGTGCAGCCTGGGAGCCACTAACCAGGGAAGGGACGAGGATGTCTTGCTTGGCCAATGTGGAGAAGACCCAGAGGTCCCCTGAGACTAGACACGGCCCCTCTGGTGCCCATGCAGCCCTCGTGGATGGGGCTTGTCAGGCAGGACCCCAGGTCAGGGGCCCAGGGAGTTACCCACTGCCTGACCCAGCTGAGCTCCCATAGCTCCAGGGCCTGGGTCCTGAGGGAGCCCCACCCGAACTCCCCCCACCCACTGGGCCGGCTCTAGGAGATCCTTGGTTTGCAGTCCCAGGACTCCTGGCTGATTGTGGTTTGTTGGGGTCCCCCAGAGTGGTGTCCATCTTCTGTCTTCTCAGCTTCCTGCTCAGAGGTCGGGGTTGCCCCAGCAGGCAGGGCCAGGGAGAGACTGCTCCCAGTCCCCAGACCCTGTGTCCTCTCATTCCTCTCTGTGGATACCTGGAAGGTGGTGGTGACAGGTCTGGAAGCTGGGGGGAAGCTGCAGAGGCGTGCAGTGATCTCTGGTGGCATGTGGTTTGCTACTCCATGGGGCTGGGGCTCCACAGAAGTGGGTCTTTACTACCTGTGTAGAGGGGCAGCTTCTAGCACATTCTAACCTTTCTGGGTTCTGCTTGACCTCGTCAACTCCCTGCCCCCCTGTGAGGCCCAGTTTTCTCGTCTAGTCATTTCTGTGCTTACTGCACTTAACTCATATTTATTGAGCACCAACTACGTGCCCGATGCTAGTGGCTGGGGACACAGCAGTGAACAAGGCATAAATTCTCGTCCCCAGGAGCTTACAGTTTAGTACAGGGAGACAAAGAAAAATAAATAAGCAGATAGGTTATTAAAGCCGATGGGGAATTTTATTAAAATTATTAAATTATATATTTATTTATTAAATTATATATATATATTAAATTATATAATTATTAAATTATTAAAGTCCCGGGGAATTTCACACAGGTGCAGGGAATGGAGGGGGTGGGGGAGGCTGCAGTGACCAGGCTGAGCAGCTTCTGGTGTGAAATAAACAATAGATGGCAGGGCCACCCGCTGTGCCCAAACAGCAAGGTGCTTAAGAAGTTGTGATAAGCGTGTGCTCTGTTCAACATGTCAAATGACGAGAGCTGAGAGCTAGCACCGGGTCTGATGACCACTGTGATTTTGAAGTTGTGACGAGCATGAAAGTATTTAGAGAAATCTGCACGGGCTGTAACGTGAGATGGGAGTGTCTGCTGTCTGTTGGTGACAAGGTCGCAGGTACAGCCTGCAACTCTGCGGTTTGTTGCTTATGCTCTTACTTGAGAGATGCTAGATTTCAGTTAGAGGTTGGGGACAATACCATTCCTGTCCCAGTTCACAAGCCTACTCAGTGGTAAGAAGGTCCCCCAAGGAGGCTAAAATTAAAGATGCCTGTTTTATTGTTATGTATGTATTTCGTGGCGCTGGGGATGGAACCCCATCAGCCCATCAGCAACATCTAGCTGATTGGCTCCTCGGCCCCAGAACCCAGGGCCTTGCGCGTGCTGGGCAGGTGCTCTGCCACTGAGCCACATCCTAGAAGAGCCTACATCCAAGAAAGTGACGAGGGAAGCCCTCACTGAGAAGGTGACTTTTCAGTCCAGACCTGAAGGAGCACTTTAGTAAACCATCAAGCAGTAGAGGATGGGGACCCGTGGGTCCTTAGTGTCCGGTCAGGCCACTAGCATTCCAGGTGTCCACTTGAGGTCCCCATCAGCAAGGACCCATGCAATCAAGGTGGTGCTGGGAAACGACTGGAGAATCTGAGACCCCCAAAGCATGCCTGGCTATTGTGGGGAAGGGGTCCAGGGTGGAGATGACCTCACAGCGAGGGGCAGAAGTGTCCAGGAGTCTGCGGCCACCTACCCTGCATTTCCTTAGATGGTCAGCACTTGCTCTTTGCAGAAATCTTGCCAAGTGCCCCTGTGGCCCGAGAGTAGGGGTCCAGGGTTGTTGTGCCTCAGGGACCCGGGGGGCAGTGCCTTAGTATTTCTATCCCCTCAGCCCCCTGGCTCCACGACCCCATCCAGGAAGCCCCTAGTTCCCGGTGGACCCCCAGCCCGGCCACTCTTTGGCTTTGAACTCTCCCTTGCATCTGAAGCTGTTGGGGTCGTGGGCCCGGCTCCTGCCACCTGCCTGGTTTGACTCTGTTCAGGCTGCTCCTGGGCTGGGGCGGGGGGGTGGGGGGACATTCACAAGTTCACTCGCCAGCCGGGACCAGCCACCCCAGGAGCACGAGGACTTGCTCACCCTGCCTCGTCCCCCACCTGGGGGTGGCCTACTGAAACCTGCCTGCTGGCCTCGAGGGCTGTGGGCAGGACACAGAGGGAACCCTTGGCTCCCACTGCAGGCCAGCTGGGGGGGCAGGGTGTGCTTGGCCCTCGGTCCCTTCCCTAGGGGACTTCCCAGGCCTGCGACTGGTAGGCACACGGAAGAGGAGAGGTGAGGCTTGACTTGGGGAACCAGGAAGCTCCCTCCATCTTGAGTCGCGTGGCGCTTCGGAGCTTAGCAGAGCCCAGGGTAGAAGACTCCTATAAGAACTGGTTGCCCTGGAGGAAGCCCCTCACCCTCGACCCCCAGCCAGCCACCCCAGACCCATCCAAAAAGTCCCTCCAGAAAGCACAGGCCGTGCCTCTGCTGGGAACCCGCCGAAGTCACCAGGGGGCACAGAGCTGGAAACCGAGGCCGGCGCAGCGTTGGCGAAATGAGAAGCCAGCCGCCGGGGGGCTGAGGGCCACCGAGACGACACGGAAAATGTTAGACCTTGATGTACAGCGATTGTTCAAGGCGCTAAAACCCGCTCACAGGAGAGCAGAGGGAGCCAGAGCGGCCTGTGGGATCCTGGATACCAGCCGCCTCAGTTTCATTCTCACTAATCACAGAAGACAGAGCAAGAGGGTTTGGAGATCTTCCATCTTGATAGACAGGGTCGCTGCCCGGATGGCCCTCGGGTGACGTGCCACCTCCGTGATGCCGGAGAGTCATCTCGCGCAGAGACCAGCGCCCACAAGCACGTCAGTCCCCGGCCGGCCCAGGCGCTGCCATCGCTCGCCACTTCTTGGAATTTATTCTAAGGAAATAACTGAGATGCAGACAAAGATTTCTCTAAACAGAAGGTCATTTTCGTTTTATTTTAAATGGTTTAAAAAAAAGGTATTATTCGGTATTATTTTAAAGGTTTTTTTCCCCCTCTCAGGAATTTTGAATGGAGACTTTGGAGCCAAATGTGTGTCTAAAAATAGAACAGGGCTCTGGAAATAACAGTTGTGTCTACAAAATGAAATGTCTGCAGCTCCCAGGTCTGTCCTTCCCCAGCTGGGGCTGCGCCCGCCAGCGAAGAATGGGCAGCAGCGGCGTGAATACCTGTCGGGGGACAGAGAGGAGGTGCGGCTTCCGTGACTCCAAAGTGTTCTGCAGCCACTAAGGAAGGAAGCCTGGGAAGAAGTTTTAATGACACGAGAAAGTGCTTCTGATGAGGTGTCAAATTAAGAGGGAAAAAAACGCTGGGGATGAAAACATCTATTTGGGTCCCACTGCCACCGTGTGAATATGCAGAGTCACGCAGAGAGGCCTGGCGGAGAAGGTGGTGACGGTGGTGATCTCTAGGAGGGGGAGGGCGGGGGGGGGCTTCTTGTTTTTTTTTTTTTTTAATGATTTCTTTGTGCTCAGAATTTTCCACAAAGGTCACTGCTTTCAGAAAACAATTTGAGTGTGTGAGTGTGAGTGTGTGTCTCCTTGCCCCCCCCCACTCCAAAATCATGTGGGCCCCTGAACAGAAGGAGTTGCACAAGAAGGGCCAGGATACAGGAAGGAGCCAGGGTGACGATGGGGGACGTGACGGCTCGTGCCAGCCTCCTAGGGACCGGGAAAGCCAAACCCAGCAGCTTGATTTCATCCAGAGCCTCATCTTCTGCCCGGGACTCAAGGGGAGAGACCTGCCCCTTCCCGAGAGTCGGGGGCTTCTGGGGCGGGATCTGCGTGGGAGTCCAGGGTGCTGAGTTCAGGTGCCAACCTCCTACCTTTGTCCCCCCAGGAAAGAGTTTCACCCTGACCATCACTGTGTTCACCAACCCCACCCAAGTGGCCACCTACCACCGAGCCATCAAGGTCACCGTGGATGGACCCCGCGAGCCCAGACGTAAGTGTCACTGAGCCCCAGGCCCGGGAGCAAGGGCCAGTGGGGGAAAGGCAGCAGCAGGGTCAGACAGATGTCCCTGGGCCCCTGGGGCACAGGTGGGGCCGGGGTCCCCGGCTCTACACATGCCCCACACACGTGTATCTGCCGGCAGGTTCCCCTGTGGGCACAGCGCCAGGCTGTGGGAGGCCGGGGAGGAGATGGGAGGCTGGGGCTGGACGAAGGACCAGCTGGGTGACCCTTTGCCCAGGGGTGGACAGCAGGGGGACAAGGAATGGAAAATTTGTTCGGAGGAGGCTTCAGATACGACGTGGGAGCCCGGGTGGGTTGGGGTACAGGTTGGCCAGGTTCTCCCCCACTCCCGCTTCCTCTACCAGTGGCTGAGGGGCAAGTGACCCAAAGGCAGGGGTCAGGCAGGCAGCGAGGCCAGTGCCCCTTTCAAACTGTTTCTTGAAACCTCAGCATCTGACTCTCAAGTCACAGAGCCCAGGCACTGTCCCGGGACCCACCCACCCAGATGAGACCAGTGCAGATATGTTCTGCAGATATGTCTTGAGCATCTGCTGTGTCCAGGGGTCTCGGTCCCCCAGAGTTTATGGTTGACTCCTTCTGCCTGCTGAAGGGCCTGGAGTCCGCGGGTAGCTGGGGAAGCTGGTGGGAGGCCAGGGTCTGTGTTTGCTGAATGAGTGAATGCACTAGCCCGCCTCTGAGTGAACTCAGGCTGCTCCCGAGCTCTGCTCACGGCCCCTCCCTGGCACACTCAACCAGGGGTGTGGAGAGCTGGCCTGTCCCTCGCCTTCTTGTAAGCATGGTCCTCTGCAGTTTAGCAAAGCCCTTCCTGCTCCTTATTGCACGGCATCTCATGACAGCTGAGCTGAAGGGTCAGCTCGTTCCAGGAGGAGAAGATGCAGCCCCGAGGAGGTGGGGTGCCAGGTAGGGGCTCGTGCCAGGCCTCAGGCTTCCAGGGCAGCTCCCTTGGCTGGCTGAGCTGTCCGGGGCAGGAGGGTAAGCTCGGCGCCTCTCCCCAGTGCCCAGGAGCTTGGAGGGAGAGTTGCGTGCCAGGGCGGGTCAGTGAGAGAAGTCAGCCTGGCCCTGGAGTCCGGGACCTCGCTCCCCTGCATCTAGGTCCTGAGTCTGGTCAGCAGCGGCCACTTGGGTCAGGCTCAGATCAGGGCCAGGCCACCCTGGGAGAGGTCCCCCTGCCATGCCTCATGGGTCACCCCCTACAGCCACCCTGAGCTCCTGCACATGGTCATCAGCTCCCCGCGGCTCTGGCAGAATTCCTGCCTGCTGGGATCCGACATGGACAGGTCGACGCTCTTGACCTTGGGCTTCATGACCCGCCGCCAGTCACGTCTCTTTTTTGGCTTGATTTTGTCTCCTGTGAACTGGGTCAGTGAGCCCAGCAGTCTCAGGGTAGTGGTCACTGGGAAGCCCATTTGGTCTTCCATGGTGCAGAGAGCAGAGTCCAAGCCAGCCTGTGTGGTTAGTGGAGCCCAGGGCCAGTTACCTCCATGCCTCCGTTTTCTTGTCTGAAAAATGGGTTCACATAGGCAGCTACCTCGTGGTGCTCTTGTGGGAAGATAACGGGTTAATGGGCAAAAGCTCTCACAGGGGATTGACAGGTATTCTGTTGCCTTAGCCAGGGCTTCCATCTGCTGTGCAACCTAAGGAAAGTCACTGATCTCTCTGGGCCTCCACCCGTGAAGTGGGACGATTCCCCCCACCCCCCATAGGCAACATGTGAACAACAAATGGCTCTGTCAGAATCCTCATGAGTCACCAGGACCCTGGCCTTCTGTTCTTCCTGGTGCCCACCCCCACTGACCCCCTCCTCCACCATCGCTGGATGGTGAGCCTCCCCAGGAGCCATAGGGCGGCTGCCAGGAACCAGGCCCTGCTCAGAGGGGCCGCAGTAGCCTCCACTGAAGGTGGCCACAGTCCTGCTGAAGTCCCCAGAGGCAGGATCAGATGGACAGGAGCCACTGCTGGATTCTGTGCGTGTGCGTGCGTGTGCGTGCGTGTGCATGCGTGTGCATACTTGTGTGTGTGCGTGCACAGCACTTAGGGCCACTCCTAAAAGAAGGAAGCACCCCGTTCTGGGGTCTTGGTTTGGTAGAAACTCCCCTGGGGGGGGCCTGGCATCCCTCAGATCCCCGTTCAGCCTGCCCCCCCCCACTCTCTTCTACTGAGGTCCTGGATGAGCTAAAGGCGCAGCCCTGTCCCAGGGAGCCCCCAGTTGAGTCCCTGGCCTGCACTTCTCTCCTGGGGTCTCCCCAGCCTGAGATGGCCCCTTCTGGGTGAGTGGCCCAGAAGAGAGAGCACTGAGTTCAAGGGAGACAAAAAGAGGAGAAAGAAGCAGGCTGAGAGGGCGTCAGAGGCCAGGATTGCTGTGTGACCTGAGGCAGATGGTATCCCTTTCTGGGCCAGAGCAAGGGCCAGATTGGCAGTGTGAATGTGACTTGTTCAAACAAAATCTTAGCAGAAGCTCATTTATGAAATAGCAGGAAGTGGGAGGGGCGAGCTCTCCAGGTCCCCATCCTCGGGCCCGGCTTGCCCCTGGCCCTGGCCCTGGCCCAGCCTGGCCTTCAGTCTGGGGCCCTGGACACACCTTCCCACTTCCCCGGCCTCAGTCTCCCCATCTAGAAGAGGAAAGAGGCCAGTTCCAAAGCTGCTGGCCACCGTGGCTCTGTGTGCTGGGCTCCATGGATGTCCTTCACCATGGCCGGGGGACGGGCCCAGGGAGGCAGAGCCAGCTCCCTTGGTGCCCGGGGCTCAGCTGGGGCCGGGAGGTGTGGGCCGCCCGGCCCTCCCACCCCGAGCGCTGGCTCTGCCGCGGGTGGTGTGGTGTTCTCCTGCTCTGGGGAGCTGCGAGGTTCCGCGAGCTTCCGGCGCTTGGCCCACAGGAAGTGCCAGCAGCCCTGGGGTTGTCACCAGCCTCGTGTGCCGGGGTCTCCTCTCTGGGCTCTGCTCTGCAGCCCTGAGCCCTGTGAGGCCTGGGCCTTCTGTGGGGCGGCGGGCAGGAGCGGGGCTGGTCCTGGGGGCCAGGGGGCAGGAGCCTGCCGTCCCTGAGGCCGGGCTGTGGGTTCTGTGGCCGGGTCGTTCCCCTCTGGTGCCCTGCAGAGCGTGCCCGACCTGCAGCCAGGTGGCCGGCTGGGTCTGAGGCTGGCTTGGTGGCTTCCTGCCTGTGTGGCCTTGGTTTCTGAGGTTCTCGGGGCTGGTGTCCCTCCGAGTCGCTGGGGCTGGTGAGAACACAGGTTGCTGAGCTGGGTCCAGGGCGGGTGGGTGGCAGCTGTGGGCCGGGACCACAGTTTGGGAACCACAGTTTGGGAACAGCTGACCCCCTGCCTGTTCAGAAGGGCTGGCCCTCGAAGGGTGGGACCCGAGTTCTAATCCTCCCGGAAGCTGCGGGTCGAGGTACTCAGGATCTCCCCCAGGACCCGCCTCTTCCCCAAGTCGTACCTGAAATGAGTCCAACAAATGCTTCCCTGGGCACCCACACCAGACCACCCATGCCACGTCAGGTGCCATTCCATGTGCTGGGGACACTACTGGGAACCCAGGCTGATGGCTTCCCACCTCCTGGGACTTGCGCCCCAGAGGGGAGAGGTGGAAAACAGTTTTGCTGTCACCATGGCACCTAATTTTTTCCCTCTTCCTCCCCCACTCTGGGCACCCTGGCCTCCTGCCTGGCACACTCCTGCCTCAGGGCCTTTGCACTGCTGCTGCTCCCTAGATACCCCCAGAGTGACGCCCGGCTCCCACCTCCCCACCCTGAAGGCTCTGCTCAACCTTCTCAGCAACTGCCCCATCTTACATGCCATGCACCCAGCTGTCCTCACCTGCCCGGGTCCTGCCCAGCCTTAATTCTACCGCGGACACTCATCACCCTCCACTGTGCCCTCCAGCTCACTGATCTGTGTCATTTACTTTCCATGCCACCCTGGGTGATGCTCGCTGTGGAGGAGGGCCTCTTTTCTCTGTCCTGCCGGGCACTGGCTGAGACCCCCGGGTGCAGACAGGAGCACTTCAGGTGCTCAGTAAATATTTGGCGAATAAATGAACCAAAACTTGTAAATTCTTCATTTAATTTCAGGTAACGAGAGACCCCACGATGAAAAGCAAAGCCGGGGCCAGCTGCCGGGCAGAGGGGTGGCCGGGGGTCCTCCGGGGGGCCGTGTGGCTGCCGGGGGCTCGGCAGGGGCAGGAGCAGCGACTGAGCCTGCAGCCAGGCCTTGGCGAAGGCTCAAGTGGCCACAGCCTCATCCTGGACTCTGGGTGTGGGGACCGGGGGAGGGAGGCCTGGGCTGGGAGAGGCCAGTGCCCCCGGGACCCCAGGAACCAAGGCCACCGGAGCCCAGGAGCTGGGGCAGGCCCAGGGGAGCCAGGGCGCCGGCCCCGCAGGAGGGAAGGGGTTAACCTCAGACCTCCCGGGTTCCCCTAATCAAGCCCAGGCCGCTGGAAGCCCCATGGCAGCCCTGGGAGGGCGCCACCGCCTCCCTGCCCGCTGGCCCCCCGCCAGCCGCCGCCTGCTTTCATCTGCTCACAGGGGGCCGATTCACGGCAGACCACCCCGGGCAGCGCCGCTCGACTCCGCGGCTGAGAGGGTCCCGTGTAAATCTCCTGACAGGCCGCAGCCCCGCCGCAGACAGTGGCCGCTGTGTCTGGGTCGCAGCGACCGAGGCTGCGAGTGGCCTCGGGTGGGCACAGGCCTGGCGACTGCGGCTCCCTCTGTCCCCTGGTCCCCTGGGCCCTGCTCAACCCTGTTTCCCCGGCTTCCTGCGCCCCTCCCACCTGGCTGAGCCTTGGGAAGCCAGGCCCTCTGCTCCAGCCCAGCGCCGTGGCGAGCTGTGGTTCCAGGTTGAATGTCACTGTGTGGCCTTAACCTTGTCCTCCACTTGCCTGTCCTTAAGAGGGGGTGACGGTGACCACCTCTCGAGGGCTGTGGCTGCGGAGGTATCGTGTGCGACGCCGCAGTGGACACTGCCTGAGTCGTCCTAAGACGAGTGGGCCGTGTGCCTCCCTGGCAGGGGTGTGTGCTGGGCCGCACGGAGGCAGGGGGCTGGCCTTGATGGACACCCGGCAGGGAGTGGGACCCCGTGCTGGCCTGACTGGTGGTGATGAGCGGAGTCCTGGGGACAGGGTCAGGACCCCACATGACCCTTGGCGAGTCACCCAGCCTGCAGGGCCCCAGTGTTCTTCCCCACCCTTGACCCTTATCACAGACCTGTGACCTTGGCCACCCCACTGTCCAGCTGTATCCTAGCGGAGCTAATTGCCTTGGAGAAGGTGTCCTTGTCAGAACTGGGGCCACAGAGGCCTCCCTTGAAGCCAATGCCTGGCTCACTGTCCCCTGTTGGACCCATCGTCCCCCTCAGGGCTCAGTTTGCATGATCCCACTTCACAGATGAGGCAGCCAAGGCCCAGAGCGGGAGGTGCCTTGCCCAGGACGACGAGCAGATTGCCACAGGCCCTTGGGAGGCCCCTGGGCACTACTCCAGGCATGTGGGGAAGCCCAGCTACTGGCTGCTGATGGCAGCCCACCCGGGCCCCTGGGGCGGGGGCTTCTCCCCAGCGTCTCTGTCTTCCCCAGGAATTCGACTTCTAAACAGCTGTGCTCTGAACCCAGGCTCCTCCTCTGTCGTCTGAAGACAGTGAGCCCCAGTCGCCAGGCCTTTGCCCACCCGAGGCCACTCGGCAGCCCCTGTGCGCTGCTCCCCCACAGCCGCGGTCCGACTGTGGATGTCGGAACTGAGGCCTAGAGTGGGGGACTTGGTGGGCTCGAGCCAGGTGTGACCGTGGACCTGCCTCTCCATCCCGGGCCTCGGAGCATGGCATAGCCCTGGTGGGTCCCCTGAGAGAGCCCAGCGTGCCCTGCCCAGGCCCGTCCTCCTGCATGTGCAGAAGCAGCCGTGCCCTGGCCTGGGCTGGGGCTGACACCCCTTGTCAAGCCCCAGGCTCCAGGGAGACCAGGTGGGCAGGTGGCTCTGTGTGACCCTGAGCGCAGGACTGGCCGTCAGGGACGGTGGCGGAACTGCTCACAGGACCTCGAAGAACGAGGCAGGCAGTGCTGGGCTGCTCACCCGCTGTGGGGACAGGCACTCGGGGGACAGCCGCTGCAGTTTGTGGGGTTCCCACTCCTCCAGCTCCCACACCAGGGCCGCCGCGGACTCCGTGGCGGGAGGAAGGGCGCTTCCTGGAGGAAGGGCTCTTGGGTCTGGCCCCAACGGTCAAGAGGGCCTTGCTGTTCTGAGCTGAGGCTCTGGAGGGTGGGGTGGAGAACATTCTAGAAGCTGGCCACAGCAGCAGCAGGAGAGGGGCCTGGGAGGCAGCCCCGCCCTCTTCCCGGGTGCCTCTGGGCAGCTGACCAGGGGCTGCTTCATGCAGACCTGAGTCGGGGTAGCCAGAGGGGGCTCGGCGAGCGGCTGCGCAGGGGGACTGAGGCACCAGCGCGGGCCCATGAAACCCCCGGGGGAGGGCCCAGGTGACCCCGGCGAGGGCCAGCCCCTGCCCGGCTCCCACCGTGGGAACCGCGATGAAAGAAGCCCTTTCTGCCGCCCCGTCCTCTCCTCGGGCTCAGGCACTTCCGTTCCCTTGGCTCCCAGTGCGGGGGCCCCAGCCCCATGGCTCCCAGACTTTCTGGCGCCCTGGCCACGTGAGGCCGCCCCACTGCCCCCTGCCCCTCCCCGGCAGTGCCACCCAGCACCGGGAAGCAGGTCCCGCAGGCTGTGGAAAGTCCTCCCCCAGGAAGTCCTTCCTCTGCGAAGGCAGGACAGCCACAGAGCAGCCCCACTGTGGGGCCAGGTCACCGGCTCCCAGCTGACCAGCCACTTGGTACTGGTCCTGCTCTGAAGCCTCAGAGCTGGGTGCAGAGGCCGGGCGGGTCCTGCCTCCTCGCCCTGCGTTCCAGACATGGGCAGCACCTGGCCTGGGCCGGCTGTCTCCATCCTACCTACCCCCTCGGTACACCAGCAGGGGCGGAAGGGACACTTGTGAGGGCAGGGACCCTGGGGAGTGGACGGTAGCCAAGCCTTTAGGCCAGCACCTCGGCCCAGGAGGGCGGCACGGTGAGGACCCTGCAGCTTGGGGTGGGCATGCGCCTTGAGCAGGCCCCGGGCTGCAGGCCGTAGGGCCGGGCCTCAAACCCGGGCTGCTGTGAACCCTGCCCTCCTTCCGCCAGCCACAGGGTACCTGTAAGCACTCTCTGTACATGGTGTGACTCAGAAAACGGGGACTTTATTCCCCAGTGACAACAGTGACATGGCCTGAGGTTTTGCAGCAGCTTTTGTGTAGCCTCATTGGCTCACTTCAGGCTTGTGGTTGACTGAGACACCCAGATCCTTCGCACCCAGCTGCTGTCAGGTCAGTTTGCGGTCTCCACATCCATCCGGCTGCCTTCCTGCCTGTTGAGATTACTCTGAATTCATTTGTCCCCCACCTCATCCGTGCCTCCCTGCCATGTCCAGTGGCCTCAGAAGCCGGGCAATGGCATCTTCTTGGAGCCCTGTCAGGGCTTTGGCTGACAGTGGCCACCCGACAGGTGCCTCCCGCGGCCCCCTCTCCACCTGCCCCACTCCCCACCCATCCCTCTCACCCCGTTGCCGTGACTCACCCAGCGCCCTGCCCAGGCATCTGAGTTCGCAGCCCCAGCCAATCTCGGCCCCAGCCCTGCTTTCCCCTTCCTTGTGCACAGGGGACAGCTGTGAGAGGGTCTGGCCAGAAGCCAGGTGGTCCTATTCCTGCCACCAGGTGTCCCATCGGTTTCTGGAAAGGGCCTTGTCACAGGACACAGGGTTCCCTGGGTCTCAGTGGCCTGCTGAGCCCCCAGGGCCCCTAGGACTCGCAGATGCCCATTGGAACTTGTGGCAGGGTTGTGGAGGGAGCTCAGGGGTCTTCAGGGACCAGAACCCTTGTGTCCCTATCTTAAAAACCAGAAGTGAGGCCTCTCCTGGGGCTCCCGGCTCTGCCCTCAGTTCCCGGCAGTGGTGGGTGGTTGCTTTCCACTCCCAGCCCCCGGCAAGGACAGCAGGGGACTGTCATACCCCCCCTACTTCTCTCCTCTGTCAACCTGAAAACTTCCACGTCACTTCGGGACTCGGGCAAACTTCTTCTCTCTTTCCCCTTCTCCCCACTTTTATTTTATTTCAAATATTTTTTTAGTTGTAGATGGACACAATACCTTTAGTTTATTTTTTTATTGTGGTGCCGAGGATGGAACCCAGTGCCTCACATATGCCAGACGACTGCACTACCACTGAACCACAACCCCAGCCCCCCTTCTCCCCACTTTTCTAAAGGGGCCCAGGTCCAACAGATCCCACCACCCCTTCTTGCTCTGTGACCTCTGGCAAGCCTGCGTGCCTCTCTGATCCACAGTGCTCTGATCTGTAAGAGAGGACCTGATCACCTTCATCAGGGAGGTGACGGGCACCTCCGACAGATGTGACACAGAGCGAGGGACAGCCGTAGGCACAGCAGTCCTCACACAGTTATTGAGGCTAAAGTCCCAGGGCAGGCCCTAGGGAATCGGGCATTTCCGAGAGACTGGTTATGCTCCATTTCACAGGTAAGGAAACTGAGCTTGTCCTCCCAGACATTCCACTCAAAAAGGAAGGGACATTATGATATGTCCAAGGTGACATCATTCTAGAAAATTCCATGAGAGTCTTCCTGTATTCCATGCACATAAAACAAAAGCAAAGAGTGGGTAGAAAACCTTCCACAGTGGGGGCTTCTGGAGGGGTCCTGGGATGGGTCAAAACGCCTCATCTGCAGTGTTTTGACTTTTGGAAACTTGATTTGTTGCTTGGGAAATGTAACATGAGTGACTGAAAAAGTGTGTGTGTGATGGGGAAGGTCCCCACAGGCTTGATGTCATTCAAAAAGAGCTCTTTTGGCCTTCAGCAGGCTGCAGGAGGGCAGGGGCATGGCCACCTTGACCCTGCCAGCTCCCTGGGGCCCGGGAGGTGAGGTTGGGGCTCTTCCTTGTGGCCCAGAGCAGAGGGTGCTAGGAAGCGCCCGCAGTTTTCTCCAAGTGTGACGCCCCAGGCCAGGTGTGCTGGTCCCCTGACCCCAGCTTCCAGGAGCTCAGCCCTGCCCCTCCCTCAGGTGTGCCAGCCCTGCCCAGCGTCCTGGTGGCTTTGCATTCTGCCTGAGGCTGAAGGGACGAGGGGGTCCCTGTGCCTTGGGGCTGGAGCAGGGCCTCTTGATCTGTCGGAGGTGGACACTGCTGACCTCTCTCCCTGCCACCCTTGGGAACGGAGGCCTCCTGCGCCTGGTGCCTCTGTGTCCCCCTCTGCCTCACAGTAGGTGGGGAGCATTAGGCCACAGACTTTGATGTGAACCCTGAGTTTGGATCTTGGGTTCACAGCTTAACTGACCCCGTCCAGGCCCCACTGGTGGCTTTAGAATACCTCCCCGATTTGTGCAGTTAGCGGCAAGCTCCTGGCAGCCCCAGGTGGCATGGAACCACCATGCTCTGTTCAGAGAGTCTTCTGAAAACCCCAGAGGAGGCTGGTGGTGACCTCAGGGTTCTCCCTGCAGACCTGAGGTTAGAACTCAGGAAGAACTTCCCAGGAGAGCGAGGCTTTTCTGTGTTCCCTGAGACTCCAGGGAGCCAGTGGCTGATGGCTTCTGATGCTCCCCAGGGCACCGACAGAAGATAGAAGACCAGACCAAGGCGTTCCCTGACCGCTTTGGGGACCTGGAGCGGCTGCGCATGCGGGTGACGCCGAGCACACCCAGCCCCCGAGGCTCACTCACCACCACAACCCACTTCGGCAGCCAAGGCCAGACCCCCATCCAAGGTAGGAACCGGGGCGTGGCCTGCCTGCCCAGCCAGGCCCTTCTGAGAAGCTCTGGCTGCTCTTGGTTCACGGAGGAGGCGCTGGGCAGCTCGCTCCTGCGGGTGCTTCCCCGGGGCCCCCTTCCCCCACCCAGCACCCACCTCCTGACTTGGCAAACCACATCCCCGGGATCAGCGTGAGCGGACACAGCCCAGGATATGGGGTTAATGTCAGAGGACCAGTGAAAACTGGGGTGATGTGTCCCCTCTGTGCCCCGAGGAATCTCCCCTGGCCCCAGCCTCCCATCTGAAAGTCAGGTGAGGGGGCTCCCAGGGCTGGGGGGTGTTCAGGCCACAGGACTCAATTGCACTCAGACTGTGACATGAGTCGCCAGCCCGTGAGACACGTGGCACTGTCGGGGAAAGGCCTCCCCCCTGCCCAGAGACTACCCCAAACAGGGGCACTGAGGACCGGGGCTCTGTCCCCATTGCCCAGTTGGGGACTGCAGGTAGGTCTTCCAGAGTGTATAGCTGCCCGCAGGCAGTGGACAGGGCGCCTGTCCTGGCCTCCAGGACTCAGCCAGCGTGTCAGCTGGGGGCTGCTGTCGGCTGGGGGCTTTTGCCGCCTGGCACTGGCCGGGCAGGGGCAGGACTCCGGCTGGAGAGCAGGGCGCGGGGGCGAGCTGCCACAGCACTCTGGCCTTCTCTCCCAGTTAGCAGAGCTGCATGAGGCCCATTTGGCAGACGAGTGAATTGAGGCTGAGGAGGTTAAGAGTCACCCTGGTCACACGACCCACTAGTGACCAGGTCTAGTCTCCACAATGCTGCCCCCAGGAGGCTCTATGCTTCAGGAGGCCTCAAGAAAGGGGCTGCAGCAGGACTGCAGACTGGCTCCCACCTGTCTCCTCCTCCTCCTCCTCCTCCTCCTCCTCCAGCTGAGCCAGAGGCCTGGCCCAGCCCTTGCTTTGTGCTCTAGGCCTGACACAGCAGCTGGGGGCTGGATGCGGCCCCTCCAGCCTGGGCTCAGTCCCCTCCACCCAGCATTCAGCCCCTGAGCCCTGGGGAGCACAGGAGCGGGTCTGGCCCCCAGATGGGCTGCTAGGTACCTGCACACCCTGCCCTGTCGCTTTCTCTGCTCACGTCCCCCTGAGCCAGCGCCTTCAACGTCACAGAAGCCCCAACCCAGCTGACCTCTCCCTGCCTCGGGCAGAGCCTGGCCTAACGTGTTGGGGACCGAATCTGCCCTGCCACAGTCGGAGGGGCATTGTCTGGGAATTGGTGCCCATGGGTCCCTAAGCAGACCTGCCCATCCTCCACGCAGCCCCAAGGGGTTTGGCCTGCCCCACAGCAGGCACAGCCCTTGCCTCTCCTCGGGGGGTCGGGGGGAGAGGAGGTCAGCAAACTGTGCAGGGCAAGTGGCTGACCCATCCTTCTCCTCCTGCCACATCCTGAAATAGGGCCCTGGCCCCTCATTAGCCACCCATAACACTGGGCCGTAAAGTCCCCCTCTTCAGGTTTGTCCCCTTTGGGGTGAGAGAAAGAGCCCTTGACCAGGACCAGCAGAGGGACAGGACCGGTGCAGTCAGGTGGGCCTGGCTACGAGCTTGGCTATGCCAGTCACTGGCTCTGTGTTCTTATGTGTTCTTCAGCAAGTCACCAAACCTCTCTGAGCCTCAGTTTTCTCATCTATAAAGTGGAAAGAAGGATGCTGGCAGCCCAGGCATGAGGACTGTCCCTCATGGGCCCTCCCTTGGGGTGGGACCAGCCTCTCCCTTCAGGCATCCTGGGATGGCCTCAGGACACCCACCACTTCCCTGGTGCCTGTTAATAGCTCTGACCCCCTGGCCTTGGTCACGGGGAGCAGTGCTGAGCCTGGCCCCCCAGCCACAGCCACCCACAATGGGGGCTTCTCACCACTCAAAGGGCCCATTCAGCCTCCACGCAGCAGCTGGGGCAATTTGGAGAAAAAAATAAACATTTCCTCCCACTGTTGGGATTGGCTGTTGGACAGTGGCCGCCAGCTCGGGTTTCCCGGGGCGGTAAGGCTGGGGGTGGCACAGGAGACTCGAGGAAGCTGCTGGGGGGTCCGAGGCGTGCCCAGGGCAGGTACCTCCCACCCCTTGAGGAGGGAGGCAGGGCGGATAGTGGCAGGTCCAGGCAGGCCCAGCTTGTCGTCCGTGCATGTGGACTCTGATGCCACACTCCAGGCCCAGGCCCTCCACTGCAGGACCTCGTGTTCCCAGAGCCCCAGACCTGCTGTCCCTTACTGGGTTCCATTTGGGGTTCCTTTGCCCTGAGGATGGGAACTACCTCCACCCTGTTCAGCAAGGAGGAGCCCACCTCATGCTGTCTGGAGGGCCTGCTCCCCTGGGGTCCTAGGTGCAAGCTGCCACCAGGCTCCTCTGACCTCCCAGGCTCCAAGGCAGACTGACCAGCCAGTGACCACTGGGGAGGGTGTCGGACATTCCAGAAGGTTCCAGCTGCCCAGAGACACTGCCGAGGGATGTGTACCCAACTGCCTGAGCAGACCCCAAAGCCTCAGAAGGGACAAGTCTCACCTGAGGAAGCAGGAGGCCTGAGCGCTCTGTCCCCAGCCAGGCCTCAGTCCTGGTCAGCAGTGCCCACCAGCTCTGGCACCAGCCCCACTGGGCCAGGGGACAGAGCTTGGTTTCCTGGGCCCTCTCCTGGCTTTTTGCCATGGTGGGTGAGACAGAGGGCCGGGCGCCAAATGGGCTTCGATCCTGGACACTCCCAGGCTCCCCCACCCCACTGCTGCTGGAGTGCAGGAAGGGTCTGGGTCAGGCCCTTCTCTTCAGGGTCCTGCAAGGCCAATTCTCCTGGGGGCCAGCAAGAGATGTCAGAGCAATGGCAGCAGCGCAAAGCCCCACAGGAACTACCCTGTGCCCAGCTCTGTTCTAAGGGCTCTATCAACTGAAACCTTACAAAAGGCTGTGGTCCCCAGGAAACGGGTACAGAAGGCTAAGTGACTTGTCCAGGGACACACAGCTGGATGTCTCAGCTCTGCTGCCTTGATCATGAGAAGGCGTATGTTGGGGCTGCGCCCCAGGAACCCTGGGGTTTTATGCCAGAACCAATGTACTGTGGGGTCCTCGTGCCTCGCCCTACTGGGCCTCCATTTTTCCACCAGTCGGGTTAGACTCAGTCCCAGAGTCCATTTGAATGTGAGGTTCCACAGCCTGTGACCACAAAAGTAGGGTAGAGGCTGGGAGCCCTTGTCTTCCAGCCCACTGAGGAGCCATACTCCCAGGGGAGCCGGCACAGGGCCAGGCTGGACACTGCCCAGTGGGGGCCTGGACCCCAAGGTCCCTCTAACTGGCCTTTCCTTTGCTGTGGAGGCAGGTGTGGGTAGCTGCTGGTCATTGTGTGGCCACAGTCAGCTCCAGCCTGCAGGAGAGGGGCACAGAGCGGGCAGGTAGAACCCACAGCTGCAGGGCGCCAGCTCCATCCCGGGTGTGAGCTGAGGCCCGCAGCCTGGGCGCAGAGCCCAGTGTGCACCTGGGCACTCACACTACCCCGGGATGCCGAGGGCTGGGGCCTCCGGGTGGGTCCAGTTCCTTCTGTGTGTCTCTGTCTCAGTTTCCCTATCCTCAGACGCAGGGTTCCCATCGGAGTCTCACAGACCCCTAAAGGGGGTCACAGGCCCTTTTCATCCCCGCGGCCTTGTCAGCCCTTGACAGGGAGCCGTCCCGAGCCAGGTCCTCAGTGGCCACCTGCTCAGGGAAGGCAAGGCCCCGTCCTCGGCTGCGGCCCAGGCACCCGCCCCCTGCGCTTCCCAGGGATCCCCAGCGCGGGGGTCCCCTAGTGAGCCCTGTGAGCCAGAGCCCGGGTCACACTCAGGAGGCCCCGGGTGGCCTGGCCGCGCCTGACCCTCCTCTGCTGTTCCCCAGGCACCTCGGAGCTGACCCCCTTCTCCGACCCGCGCCAGTTCGACCGCTCCTTCTCAGCGCTGCCGCCGCTCTCGGAGAGCCGCTTCCCCGACCCCCGGATGCACTACCCCGGGGCCATGTCGGCCGCCTTCCCCTACAGCGCCGCGCCCTCGGGCTCCAGCCTGGGCGGCCTCGGCGTGGCGGGCATGCCGGCCGCCAGCCGCTTCCACCACACCTACCTCCCGCCGCCCTACCCCGGGGCGCCGCAGAGCCAGAGCGGCCCCTTCCCGGCCAACGCGGCGCCCTACCACCTCTACTACGGCGCCTCCTCGGGCTCCTACCAGTTCTCCATGGTGGCGGGCGAGCGCTCGCCCACGCGCATGCTGGCCTCCTGCCCCAGCGGCGCCGCGCCCGCCGGCAACCTCATGAACCCCAGCTTGGGCGGCCAGGGCGACGGCGTGGAGGCCGACGGCAGCCACAGCAACTCGCCCACCGCCCTCAGCACGCCGGGCCGCATGGACGAGGCCGTGTGGCGGCCCTACTGAGCGCCGCGCCGGGGGACGGGACCTCGCTGGCCCGCGGCCCCGCGCGCCTGTCCAGCCACGGCTTTGTACAGAGGGGGCGGGGACCCCCGGACACTGCCCAGGCCCAGCCGACTCGTCCTCCTGCGTCTCCCGGGACCACCGCCCGGCTCCAGCCGTGCCCAGGGCTAGCTCCTGGGCCGGAGGCCATCTCCGATCCAGAAAAGTGGGGGGGCCCTGCCCAGAGGAAGAGCCCCGGGCCGGCCTCCCTCCACACCCGCCCCCCAGGCCCGGCCGCCCTCGGCATTAACAGGAGTCAGAACTGGAGGCCCCGCCCCCGCCGGAGGGTCCCCTCACTGCCCACTGGAGGGGCTGGACCTCGCGGGCAGGGAGCAGAGAACACACCCCAGCCAGTGCCCCGACCCCGCTTCCCGGAATTCCTACAGCCGAGAAGTACCCCCACCCCACCCCCGCCCCGTCCGGTCCCAGCTGCCTCTGGGTCCCAGGGAGCAGATGAGCTGTGGCAGCAGGTCCCTTATACAGGGGCGCACTTACAAACGGGCCCCTGGTGCACTTTTCCAGCCCAAGGCAACCACCCTCTGCCCTCTTGGTGGCTGGTTTCATAATTTCCATTTTTGGAGAGAACTCAGGGCCCAGATAGGTCCTAGGTCCTAGCAGCAAGCATTGAGGAGAGGGGCGGTAAGGTCAGCCTCGCGGCCGTGTGCGCTGGGTCTGGGACGGCCCGGCCACGCCCCTCTGTTGCACTGCAGAAGTGAACAGTCTTGAACAAAAACCAGTTTTTAACCTTGATTTTAGAAAAAAGCTTTAGTCAAACATTTTCAAACAGAAGGTCTCTTACAGATGAAGCACTGTGGCTGGGAACAGCACCCCCACCCCTGTCTGCCTTCTGAGTGGGGTCATTGGGATCCTACCACCTGCAGATGTCCTGATCCTACAGCTGCACCTTCCCCAGGGGGTCCCTGCGAGAACCCGGTGAAGTTCCAAAGGTGCTGGAATCTCACATCTGTGTTCAAAGACATTGGTCCTGGAGGAGGCGGGGGGTGGGTGGCACTGGCTGTGTGACAGCAGAACAGTGGTGGAGGACTCCCCAGTCCTGGCTCAGCCACCCTGTGCTAGGAGGTCACCTCTGGAATCTGCAGACAGGAAGCAGGCCTTGCTCAGGGGCTCAGGCTGCAAGGTCCTCACATCGGAGTTCCTTAGTTCTGGAAAGGAACAGGAAGCATACAAGGGCTGGCGAGCAGGTGATTTTTCATGACTGCTTCTGCCACATCATCTGTGGATGTGAAAAGTCCCCTATCCTGCTCCTTTGTGATGGTCTCTATCATAGCACTTGTCCTGCCCTCACTAGAATAAAGGCATTCTCCATCTCTTCGAATAGTGACTGGGGGTGTCCTACAAACTCCCTGCACCCAGGGGGGCCTCTCCACCCCTTCTCAGGAAGCAGCTATAAGTCCACTGCCCTCTTACCTGCTTCACTCCCATTCTGTGGTCATAAACTGGCCCAGGTCAGTGGGGGAGGCACCTTTGGGTTCCCAGTGCCCAGCACTTTGTAGCCCCACCCCAAGTGACTACCCCTTCCTGGTACCCAAGCCCCGAGTGGGGCAGGGACAGGAAATAAATTGATCTCCACCCCCACCCCTGACGAGCAATGCCGGCAGCCAGGTGGAATCTGTCAAGCCCACAATGGGTACAGACAACCGGGCTGGCAGAGATGGGTCCTTATTTGCAAGGCTGGTTTAAAGTTGTGCTGGGCGAGAACACACTGACTGGAAAGCACAAGGAGGGGAAGGGGTTGAGCCAATGTTACTGTAAGCGCGTGGGCAGCGGGTACAGATCCTTTGTGACATATTGTCACGCTGAGGCCTTGGTGTCTGCTGTGCTCATGTCTTGTGTAAAACTGTCCCAGAATGGGAGGGGAGGGTGGGGGGAGAGAAACTGCTTTGCACTATTGTTTGCTTGGTGTGTTTGTTTTTCATGCACAACTTGCTTGTACAGTAAACTGTCCGTCTTCTGTACTATTTAACTGTAAAATGGAATTTTGATTTGTTACAATAATATAACAGATATGTTGAAGGATCCGGTGCCAGGCTTCTAGGGCTGTGGGCATTGGCATGGGGGGTAGGGTGGGCAGGGGCCTCCTGTCCTTGGCCAGGAGGAAGCAGGGTAAGGCTGCTGCTCAGGGGAGCCTGGGGCCCACGCCTTGTTCCCATCCAGCTCTCTCAGGAATGGTGGCAGAGACTCCCTGCGGCCCAAGGACAGCTGCCAGCCCTTTGGGTGTGGCCAGGACCATGAAGAACCTCAGGCAAGCCTTCAAGGTGCCACCACTCCTCCCCTCTCAGTGGCATGTGTTCACCTCATAGAAGACACTGCACTTTGTCCCAGATTGTTCCCCAGATGCAGACTTAGGGAGGGGGCACCTGGGGAGAGCCCCCTCTGGGATTTGTGGCTAGTGCACAGCAATGAGATGGCAGTGTAGGCAGCTCTTGGGCACCCCGATTTTGTAGAAGAAGGGCCTGAAGTTTTCTGAGGGAGTGCTTAGGGTTTCACGTGTGCTTGGGGCCGCAGGGCTAATGTGAAGGGACCTGGCTCCACAAACCCCTACTGGCCCTGCCAGCAAGGAAGCCCAGCCTCCCCCACCCAGGACCCAACAGCAGCCCTGTGCCAGCCATTTGGGATGTGCAGAGGGAACGCTCATAAACAGACCTTTGAATGATGCCCACTTTAAAACTAATCCCAAAATTTTGCCCTGTTCAGTGGGTTGAGACCTAAACGCAGCACCCAACAGGAAGCTCCCATTTCCCTAACCTAAATCCTTGATCACCCCTCACCCCAGCATGCAGGGACCAGCAGGTCCCTGAGCAGGTCCTGGCACAGCTGCGGTTTCTCTGCGTGTCCCGCGGCACCTCCCAGGGGTAAGCAGAGCGGGTTCTGCGCAGTGCCCACGTGGCCAGCGCTGCTTCCATAGTGGGTTTTTCCTCCTGGGGGAGGGGGGTCACTTTGTAGGAGCTGATGGCCCTCCCCGCAGCTGATGGCAGAGGCTGTGGACTCCAGAGCCTCTGACTCCATCCCCTGTGTCCCACTTGCCAGGCGGCAGCGGGAGCCCAGAGAAGCCCCGGCTGCTGGAGGTGGCCCCTGTGGGAGGAAGCGCCGCAGTAGCCGCCGCTGCCTGCAGGGGGCAGCAGCGCAGGGTCGCAGGTGGCGCCGCAGCCAGCGCCCCACCCACACCCCCCCCCCCCCCCCCCCCCCCCCCCGCCAAGGGTGAGCAGGGGCCGCCTCATGCGCCAGAGTCCCTGCGAGGCCCAGAAAGAGCCTCCCTGGAGGAGGGTTGGGGAGGCCGCCAGCTGCCCTCTTTACTCCCATACTCACTGCCGCGTGCCAGGCTGTGGCTGAGTCACAGGACCCTAAACCCCAAAGCCCCCGCCTCAGGCCGGGATTTACCTGGCTGGAGGGGAGGGCTGGCTTCAGAGTCCCCTGAGCCACCGGCAGCCAGTCCAGGACGAAGAGGCCATTTCTGCCACCCCCTGGGACCCGGGAATTCCATCTCAGAGGCCACAGGGACCCCTCTGATTTGGGCAGCCTGCGCTGACCCGGTGGGAGGCTGAGCGGCGGTGCCCCAGGGGTCCCCGGAGCGGGACAGTGCTGGGCTGGCCTGGGCCTGGCAGCGTGCGAGGGGGACGTGGCCCCGAGACCCGAGCCAGCCCCCTTTTGACGGCTGGGCTCTGGCCGCGGGAACGGCCTTGGCTCTTGTTCTGGGAAGGGCCACCCCGGCAGGATGTGACGGTCCGTGACAGCGACACACACCGCGGGGAGCCGCGGGAGGAGCAGGGGAGGGCCAGGCTGCGCGCGGAGGCCGAGGCCAGCCCTGGAGCGCCTCACCAGCCCTGTCCCCTCCCCTGCCCCACACAGCAGCCCCAGCAAGCCCAGGGGCAGCCCTCGCCCGGCCACCTGAATGGGGACCTCAGCTCGTGGGCCGGTTGCCCCCCACTTTGGGGTCGTAAATGAAACGAGCTGTCACCCAGGAGAGGGCGGAGGCAGAGGCCGCGAGCCGGAGTGACCGGTCCTGGCAGAAGTCCAGGAGCCCTCCGCCTCCGCGGCCGCAGGCGGGGGGCGGGGTCGCAGCCCGCGACATCCGCCGCCGCCGCCGCCGCACCTGTGTGGTCCAGGCCCACCGCAGCCCCGAGGCCCCCGGCTTCCTATTTTTAGTTTGGGGGCTCAGAGCCGCTGATGGCTTCAGACATTTTACGTCCACCGAGAGCCTGCCCCTCACCCCGGCCCAAAGGAGCCGTCCTGCGGAGGGGGCGGCGGCCTCCCATGTGCCACCGTCACTGCTGAAGCAGGAGAGCGCTCTGGTGTCCCAACAGTGGCAGCTGCTGGGCCACCAGCCCTCCTCTGCGCGCCAGACCTTGGCCAGGATTCGCTCACTCACTCACCCCGGGTGCCAGAGGCAGGAAGAGGAGGCCAGGGCAGAGCAAGCCCGGAGGCTCCTCAGAAGAGGCGTCCTCCCCCAGACAAGGTGGAGGAGGTGACTGGAAATCGGCCCAGCAGGGAAACGGCAAGAGGGCCTTGGGCAGCCTGAGTGGGGCCCGCGCTGGAGGCGTGGGGCCGGGAGGAGTAAGGGACTGTGGGGAAGGGGAAGGGACAAGTCCAGGTCAGGGAGCACGGGGAACCGAGCTGAGGAGAGTGTGCAGGCGCAGGCCTGGGTGTGGGCATGCGGAGACCTGGTCACGGGCTACTGCAACAATCGGAGCACAGGAGTGTGACATCAGTGCAAATTGACGCGAGAAGGAGCTCCCGTGGCCTCAAAGACCCTTAGCACTCGGGTCTCAGGAAGGACACCGTGCCCCAAACTCCCGTGTAGATGCCTCCCACTCCCTCGTGGGTAGTGGCTTTAAAAGGAGCCCCTGGGGACAAGATTTCAATAGTAGCCAGTTAATCCACAGTCAGCTCTTGCCTGCACCAACCCCCCACCCCACCCCCACCCCACCCAAGAGTATTGGGGGAAGCCTTAGGTCCTGCCTCAATTTCTTTAGGACAACCCCTGACCACACCCGAGGTCACAGGCAGCCTCAGCCTAGAGAGCCTGGGGCTCACAGTCTGGCTGGCCACTCACTCTCCTCTGGGATTTGAGGAGATAAAGTTATGAGACAGCACCCAAGGTTCCCAAGTTCCATGCATTATGGTTTTTATTATTATTTTTTATAGTGTACCCTAAGGTTCCTTCAGACTTTTTTCAGTTTGACTCTTTTCTCCCCACCACACACACACACTTGTTTTTAATTGGTGCATTATAGTCCTACAGACTCATGGGGTCTGTTACATCTTTGCACATGTGCAAGACTCACAAAATAACAATATCCTTTGGCCGTTGTCACTCCCCATCGCTTCCCCTTCCCTCCCTGTCCTCTGCTGACCTCCCTTTGGTTTCATGAGACTCTCCCCCACCTTTTCCCCCTTTTTCCTCTCTAACTTTTGCGTATGAGGGGGGGAAAAATCTATGTATTACATTTTAAAATGACACTAAATAGCACATGATCATGAGAGGAGACAAAGACAATATAGATCCCCGAAAAAAACCCAAGAAACACGGATGCTAATCCCACCCCCAGAGATAACCATGGTCAACATTTTGGGGGTTTCCATTGCATTTGGATGTTTGTTGATTATAACTATATAAATACTTTTTAGGAATAAACGTTTGCCTAACCAGAATCACGCTGTATGTAGCTTACCAGCTAATATGGTTTAAAAATAAAGATAAAAATTATCTAGAATAAAGTCACTGGCAAGATGGGACGATAACTGTTTTCTCTTTTCCTCTGTACATCTTTCTGTCCTTTCCAAGTTTTTCACGTAAGCACCCTGCATGGAGGGGCGTGTGGGTAACTCCCAGACTGAATAAGCATCCGGACGGAGGGGATGGAAATCATGCTGGCTGCAAGACCTGTGTCATTGACCAAAATGCCAGCTCTTCCAGGGAGCCTTCCCTGATGCCCTGTTGGTGGGTTTGATGCCTTCCCTTTAGCTCTGGAATAATAATACTTGCTAATACTTAATGCTTAGGCTAAATAGTTCACATTTTCCAACTCAGCTTACTGATCCCCGTTTTACAGATGAAAAAAAAACTGAGGAACAAGGGAAGAATTCACTCCAGTCCTTAGTATGGCAGAACAATAGTTGAAAAGGTTGAATTTAAATTTCCTACCAAAGAAAGGGACTGGTAGCTCAAAGTAAGAATAAATTTAGCCTTAGAGGAAAGGGGAAGTGCCCTGGGACAGTCTTGTTATATCAAGACAGTCATCAGGGGAGAAAAAAAAAAAAAAGATGAGAAAATGACTTCTTAAAAACAGACGCAGAAGCCAGGTGCAGTGGTGCACACCTATAATCTCAGCAACTCAGGAGGCTGAGGCAGGAGGATCCCAAGTTCAAAGTCAGCCTCAGCAACTTAGTAAGACCCTATCACAAAATAAAAAAATAAAGGGCTGAGGGTGTAGCTCAGTGGTAGAGCACCCTTGTGTTTGACTTCAGTAACACCCCAAAATGAAAAAGAAACAGCAGAAAGGACACAAGTGGAGTTGGGGTGCAGCTCACGGGTAGAGCACTGGCCTAGCATGTGCAAAGGCCCTGGGTTCCATCCCCAGCCCCACAAAAAGAAAGAAAGAAAAATACAAAGAGCATGATATTTATGGTCCTTTCTCTGATTCTGAAAGTGAGGCATCTACCTTTCTGAATTGTGTTTCTAAGGCTTCACAAAGCATGAAATTGAAAGAGAAATCACTGTCTCTGTATCCCCCTGGTGACCCCCCAGTCTGCCCTTCCCCACTCCAGGGGGTGCCTTGCAAATGAGGCCTCCCTGGAGGGGCTCGGCCTCTCCATGGCAGCTCACCCAGGCTGGCTGTGCACACAGTGGGAATATCTGCAGAGGTGGCCCTGGTTCCTGGCCACAAACAGGTTCTATTTCTTTTTCCATGAAAACAACTCAGTCCTAAGTCACAGACGCCTGAAATTAGAAAAATACGAGGCCCACATTATCATAAAACAATTTTAACACAGCGGGGCCCTCTCTGGGGTGGGAGGGG